TCTAGAAGTCCTGAGTTCAATTCCCAGCACCTGCATGGCAGCTCGCATGTCTGTAACTCAAGTTTCAGAGCTTCTGACACCTCACACAGAGATACATGCAGGCAAAACATAATGCACATTAAAAAAAAAAGTTCAAGGTCATCCTTGGCTGTATATTGAGTTCATGGGCAGCCTAAACTACTTGAGGCTGTCTCAAAATAAAACATAAAAGTCAACTGGGGGTGGGGGGCTGGAGAGATGGCTCAGCGGTTAAGAGCACTAGCTACTCTTCCAGAGGTCCTGAGTTCAATTCCCAGCACCCACATGGTGCCTCACAACCATCTGTAATGAGATCTGGTGCCTCTTCTGGTGTATATATGTTAACAGAACATTGTATGCATAATAAATAAATCTTTAAAAAAAAAGTCAACTGTGGGGCTAGCAGGATGTGTCTGTGTACCAAGCACCTGCCATTCATTACCCCTCACAGCCTGAGTTCAACTCCTAGGACCCACATGGTGAAAAGAAGAACCTCACAAGTTGTCTCCTGACTGGACACACACACGCAATAAATAAATATTAAAAAATTAAACCAGTTGTGGAGCCTGTAGCCTAAGGTGTATTGTGGGGTGAGCCAGTCTGTAAGCACGAATCCAGTCAAGCACTAGAAACCCCTTCAATGTCCCACCCCAGTACTTTTAGACTCCTTTCTACTATTGACAGTATTTTTGGTGTGTTTTTCTTTGTAATTTTGTTGTTTTAGGTATATCTCTAGTCTCTTTTTTGTTGTTGTTTCTTAAAACAGGGTCTCATGAAGTCAAGGCTGGCCCCAGAGTTTACTATGTGATTGATACTAACCTTGAATTCTCGATCCCTCTGCCTTCGCCTCCAGAATACTAAAGATTACAAGAATGCACCACCGTGCCTGGGATGTAGCATATCATCTTATCCATGTAAAAACCCTATAGCATTATGACCCTAATTAAACCAGGCACACACATGGTGCACTTGCACACATGCAGGCAAACTACTCATACACATAAACATTTTAATTTTTTTTAAAAAAAATAAAATTAATTTTTTTTTTAAAACAAAAAGACCATGGAAAGGCTTAAGTAGGAGGATTGCTACAATTTCGAGGCCAGTTTGGGCTAGAGAGCAGAACCTTATTTCAAAACAAAGAAAAAAACAAGACAAAACAAAAATCCTATAGCTTTTCTGTTCTTAATGACTGCCCTCCTCCTGCTTGGATTTGGAGTGACAGATCTGGGCTGCAGTCCTGAGCCTGCCAGCTGCTGTGTATTGTCCTTGGACAAGTTGTTTGACCTCTCTGAACCTCTTTTCTCAACTGACAAATGGCCCTGATGATCTCTAAGGGTCTGTCTGCTTCCCACTCCCCTCTGTCCAGCCGCAGTCTCCTGGTCCACACTCTTGGTTCAGTGCAGGAATGGGAGAGACCTATCCTAGCATCCTGATTCCCCTGGGGCTATCTGAACTTGGGCAAACTGCTTAGCCTATTTGAGCTTCCACCTTGTCAGCTGGAGAACAGAGGTACTGGCATCATGATCATGGAATAAGGCTTAACAAGACTACATGTATGAAGCATTTAGAATGTATCATCTTCCACATGCTCCACAAATGTTGCCTGTTGATGTTATTATTAGCTATTATAAATACCCGCAGCTTGTGCTATGACAGGCATTTCATTGATTGCCTTAAGAGATACCAACAGGGGCAAGATGGCTCAGTGGGTAAAGGTGCTTGTAGCCAAGCCTGACGATCTAAGCTTGACCTCGGGACCCACATGGTAGAAAGAGAGAGGACTACAGATTGTCCTCTGACCATTCTAGGTGTGCCGTGATAAATGAGGGTTTGGTTTTGTTTTCAACAGAATGTCACCGTAGCCCCAACTGGTCTGGAATTCACTAGGTAAACCAAGTTTGCCTTGAATTCACAGTCTGCATCTGCCTCCTGGGTGTGCCATCATGCCTGGCCTCAACCCCATATTTTTATTATTTTTAACTCCCTCCCCCCAGTGTGTGTGTATGTGTGTGGGTGTATACATGCGTGCGTGCATGTGCATGTGTGTGCACATACGTGTTTCAAGAGTTGTAAGTCACGTAACATACATGCTGAGAACCAAATTTAGGGCCTCAAGAAGAGTAGAGCACACCCTTCACCATTAAGCCCTCTCTCCAGCCTGGTGGCTCCACTTTAGAGACAAAGGCACCAAAGCATAAAATGGTTGAATAGCTTGCCGGTGGCCTCTCAGCCAATGATCCTTGGATCTGGTCAGCAACCCAGGCTGTCTGGATCTAGCCTGCCCCACAACACACCAATCTACACAGCCTCAATCTCACTCTTTGGGAGAATGTCCCTTCCTTGCCCATGCTCAGAAAATGCAAGAAACAGGCAGTAACTGAACTGAGCAGGAGTAGACACTAACCCAGAGTTCCTAATTTGGGCCACCCCTAATTATTACCTGCCCTACCCTGGCTATTTTATCTGCTGAAAATCTGCTTCATGGAAAGGGGTCAGTCTTGTCCACAGGGGAGCAGAGAGTGTTTCCATCTGTACAATAGGTGTGTCTCTGCCTCAAAGATGCCCTGTGAACTGGGACCATTGATGCTAAACTCTGAAACAAGGTTTGGGCACCTCACATGGGAGTGGTCCAGGTCAGGCAGCCAGAGGGGTTTGAACTTGACAGTCCCCAGTCCCCAAGAACTAGTGTTATTTGTGTCTGCTTTTCTTACCCTATGGTGGGAAGGCCCTGCTGAGGTCAGGGATCTCAGCCTCCCACAGCCTCCTTTAGTTTCCAGTTGTCGTTTGGCCAAGCGAAGGATGCTGTGGCCAGGGACATTGCTGCAGCAGGAGTGTGTTTTGGCGGCCGTGTTGTCTGGGTTGTGGAGGAGCAGTCTGGGTGGCAGCCTGGAGCTAGGGTTTCAAGTGTCTGGGGAGGAAGACCTGGCCCGAGTGACCCAGCCTGTCTTCAGCCCTGCACCGCTAGCTGAGCAGGGACTCAGCCTTGACGTGTATGTGTGTTTTGCCTGCATGTATGTCTGTGTACCACATGTGTGCCTTGTGCCCTAGGAGGTGGCGAGCCTCCATGTGGATGCTGGGAATTGAACCCAGGTCCTTTGTAACAAGTGCTCTTAATCACTGAGCCAACTCTATAGCCCCAGCCTGGGGGTTTTCAACCTTGTTTCTTTTACACATTTCCTGTAAGTGTGACTCCCCTAGAATTAAAGGAATGTTTGTTATTTGTGCAAAACACAAGCAACCAAAGAGGAGAGACATGAATGCCAAACCCTCAGTTTCATCATCTCAGAGACCAGCTGGCTTCCAATCACACCCATGCATGTATATGTAGACTCAGGTGTGCTCATGCATGCACCTGGATGTACATGACAGGACACAGAAACCCGCATGCCTATGTACATGTAACTGCACTGGCGCGCACATAGCATCTAAGTGTAAACAGCCAAATAAGAGCACATGGGTGTGTGTGAACATGAGTGCACACACCCACAGAAAACACATTGTGTGGCAGCTGCTGTTGTAACTTCACAAACATTGACTCATTTGCTCTCACGAGTGTTTGATGAGACAGGTGCCTTCATTGCTCTCACATGTACCAGTGAGGGTCAAACAGTTCAACCATCAGCTCGTGGATGTTTTGCAGTGAATGGACTATAGGGGTTTGAACCCCCTTGCTGAACACACACACCACGTTGTTTAGTAGCTCAAGCCTTCTCCAGGGTTCACCCCACACATCTGCATTTTGTTGGGGGTACAGAGCAGAACATCAATTAATTTCTCTAACTATCAGGGCCCTGGGCACCAAGCAGACTTGGATTTTAACCCAGGCTCTCTTGACTGTGGCCTTCTTTTTCATTCACCTCTGTGGGGTTCAGAGTCTTCCTCTACGAAACAGGACAGGAAGGGGTCGTGGCACCAGCCTCTGAATGTTGGCTGTGCTTGCGTGAATAAAGCTCTCATCCCAAGGTGTGACACATGGAACATGTTCATACCTGGATCCCATCATGTCTGCCCATTCTGAGACTGGAGGGCTTCCTAGGGAGAAGTTGGAACTCTCTCCTGCTGCCTTATTCTACAGGGGTTTGGCAAGTAGAGGCCTCCATTGAGTCTGGGATCTCTCTGGATGCATGTCCTTCCAGGACTCCTACCCCTTTGCTATACCCCTGCTCAGCTGGCAGCTTAGCCACAGCCCCTGCACACTCCAGACAGCAAAGGGCAGGCGGAGCCTCTCTCTGAATGTGCTGGCTGGACAAGAAGGGGGCTGCTAGATGGGACGTCAGATGCCGTTGCTCCCCAGGGACTGTTAAAAGTGCTGCGCTACCAGGATATCTGCAGAAGTCCCTGCCTTCTCAGCCACCTCCTGAGGCTGCCTGTTCTGGGTATGTGCCCTAGAGAACTTGAAGCCGGGTCTACGCTGACCTCCTCTCCTGCCCTCTCTTGTCTCCTCTTTTCTCTCCCATTCTATTTCCCTTCTCTGGTCTCTCTTGTCTTTTTCTCTGACCTCCAGTGTCCCTTCTGCCTCTGCCATCCTCTGCCATCTGTCCTGCCCATGTCACCCCCTCCATCCTGAGGCTGCTGCACTGAGAAAAGGGCCCGTTCTGCTTCTGTGGGCATCAGATGAGCCCAACATTATGGGATTGGTAAAGGGTGTTTGGCCAGAGGAGATGTCTGACTCCCGGGCAAATGTGACAGGGCCCTGACTTTGAAGTGGTAACACTTTGCCACTCCAGGGTCCAGTCTGGATTAGCCACTGTCTGGGCATTTCTTCTGATCACCTAACCAACTGAGTCCACAGGGGAGGAAGGAGGAAGTATTGAGTATCTGGACCAGAGCTGGGCCAGAGGATCTCTGCCAAGCTCCCAGAGAATATTCTCTGGACTGGCGTGTCCGAGGAGACCTCTCAGGGTTTGGCATTCTCATATCCACCTCTCCTAGGCAGCAGCTCTGCTCGGCACCAGACAGGTACACGATCCCAGACAGCTATGCCTCTTCTGGCCAGCATCGTGGGCCTGGCAGGCCTTCTCCTCTGGACAGGCCACACAGTGGGGGCCTTAAGGATGCCCAACACCACACTGGTCCTGGGCCGAACCAAGAACATAGCTGTGTGGCCCCTGTCTGGCTATGGGGTGCCCCGGTACCGCCGGAAACGCCATATCTCTGCCAGGGACATGAGCGTCTTGCTGGATTATCACAACCACATCCGGGCCAGTGTACACCCGCCTGCTGCCAACATGGAGTATATGGTGAGTCTAAAGCCTTCCCGGTGCACCTCTCAGCCAACACCAGTCTGCTCACTGTGGCTTGCAGTGGCTGGCTAACTTGGAAGTACTGGACCATCTGCCCGCCTAGCCCAAGCGAACGGAGACAATAAGCAATCCATTTGACAGATGCAGAAAGTAAGGTCGTGACATAAATCCTCAGTGAATAGGCGTGTGTGGGAATGGAGAGAGAAGAATGCTATCTGTAAGGCATCTTTGCGCCCTGCCAGGGCCTTCACAAAACCCTCTTTCAAGACAGTATTTTATCTGTTTTCCAAAATGAAGGGATTGAGAGTCAGAGGACAGGTTTGCCTAAGGTCTCCCAGCCTGGATTGCAAGCCTGGTCTGCCTGCTGCTAAACTGGGAGTTTCAATTAACACAATATGCAGCCCAAGAATTTTGCCTCCACACTGGGAACCTGCAGGGGGTGGGAGACATTGGCGCTTTCCAGACCATTGTCTCTCAGCAGAGCGGTGGCTTAACCCCCCCCCCCATTCATTCCCAGTCCCAGTGGAGGACAGGCAGGCACCAGGGTATCTTGGGTTGAGGAAGGCCAGGAGCCAAATCTCAGTGCAGGTTGGGGTGTCTTCTTCTGTCAGTCCTAGTGTCCCTTAGCTCAGTCAGCCCTCAGGGTGGAGGAGGAAAATCCTCCTATCACAACTCCTCCCCAGGACCATTGTCCCCAAAGCCTGGAGAGACAGCTGTCAGCCCATACAGGCATCTTTAGGAAAAGAGACAGCAGATAGGCCTCCTCCTGCCTAACAAGTGGAAAGGCAGCTCCCTTTCAGCGTTCTCTGTGCACTAACTCCTTCGTGAAGCCAGATACAGTGCTAAGCCTTTTCTGGATACCATGGAGAACCAGGCTTACTCCCTCAAGAAGACTACTTGTTTGGGATGGGGGGTGAGGGTGGCAAGAAAAACTAAAAGTCACCAACAAGATATAGAGGCCAATATCACATATCAGGAGGCAATTGGGAAGAGTCCAGAACTGGATGGCAGGCAGCTGGGGGTGGGGTGGACGGACTGTCATTTATCTGTTTGCTGACTCCTTCACTCATTTATTAATGCTGAAACTGCCACGCAGAAGGCCTCTAGTTCCCAAATAAATGACACATTAATTGAGCACCAGTGGTATGGGTGGCACTAGCCTCAGCAGATGTTTACTTACTGCCTAGGGTATAGAGCACAGGAAGCAAGCCAGCCACTCCCTCCAGGGATGCTGGGAGAAGCAAGCCAGCCACTCCATCCAGGGATGCTGGGAGAAGCAAGCCAGCTACTCCCTCCAGGGATGCTGGGAGAAGCAAGCCAGCTACTCCCTCTAGGGATGCTGGGAGAAGCAAGCCAGCTACTCCCTCCAGGGATGCTGGGAGAGGCAAGCCAGCTACTCCCCCAGGGATGCTGGGAGAAGCAAGCCAGCTACTCCCTCCAGAGATGCTGGGGAGGGTCGCACTGCTTCTACTTTGTTCCTTCTCTCCCTCTCTCTCTCTGCTTTCCCTAAAAAGCCGGAGGCAGGCTCCAAAACCACAGAGAAACCCTGTCTCGAAAAACCAAAAAAAAAAAAAAAAAAAAAAGCGGGAGGCAGCAAAGGGGTGGGGTAGGGTGGGGTAGGGTGGGGTAGGGTGGGGTGGGGTGGGAGCTTCTTACATCCCATTTCTCTTTTGCTCGGTGGCTTGTGCTTGCAGATCAGGGTGAGACTAAACGGCCCTCACTCCTGAAACCTTTCTTCCAAGCACCAAGAAGGTCTGGGTCACGTCTGTCCCACATTCCCACATGCCCTGGGGTTGCCGTGAGTCATGCTTGTTTGACAGGTCATTTCCTTGCTAGACTGAGGCCTTGGTGCCAAAGACTATTGTTCAATATTTGCTGAGTGAACAAATACTAACAGAGAATTCCAGGGAGTCACAGTTGGGAGGAAACTGGGTTTGAGGGTGTTGCTTGTTACAATTTTATTTATTTATTTTTATGTGTATGGGTGTTTGGCCTGCATGAATGCCCATGTACCATGTGTGTGCCTCATACCCAGGGAGGTCAGAGGAGGCTTTGGATCCCCTGGAAGTGAAGTTACAAATGATTCTGAACCTTCATGTGGATACAGGGAATTGAACCCCGGTCCTCTGGAAGAGCTCTTAACGACTGAGCCATCTCTCTCCGGCCTTTAGTTTGGTTTTGAGACAAGGTTTTGTCATCAGTGGAGAATGTTATTTGCTGTGTTTGAGTCCTCAAAGCTCAGCTGGTGGGAGACTTTAGCCAGGCTCTGAATTGTGGGGTAAGGCTCTTCTCTCTTCCCACGTCTCCCAATTTTTCCCTGTCTCATGTAGTCCAGGCTTCTCTTAAACAGAAGAGGGTGTCATCCTCTAGAACTGGAATTATAGGCAGTTGTGAGCTGCCATGTGGGTGCTGGGAACCAAACCCAGGTCACCAGTAAGTGTTCTTGTTCTCTGAATAATCTCTCCAACCCTAGGAACTAGGATTTCTTTTAAAAGAGATAACCCTGCCCCCCAGCTATAAACTGTGAAGAATTTCCACACTGGACATTTATATAACTACGAAGAAGGTTAAGGAGGGGGTTTAATAGGCACTGATGTAGAAGAATCACCGGGGTCACCTGTCTTGTCAAATGAAGAATTGACTATAGAACCGAGCTTACACAGCCATTTGTGCTCTATATGTCTGGATTACGGGGAGTATTTCTGGTTGGAGACTGTTGGGGAAGGGTACAGGCGTGATGAGAGATGTAGAATGTCCCACTTTGCCTTCTGTTGATGTCATATATATAGATAGATATAGATATAGATATCCATCTGTTTTTGCCTCTTGAATGCCAGGATTAAAGGTGTGCACTTCCATGTCCTGTTTTCATTATTTTTAATCTTAGATTTTTTTTTACGTGTTTTCAAGCTTTTAAAAGAGGTCTTGAATTCAATTTTTAAATGAGAATACGGCAAACTTAGAATCAATGATTCTTCTTCATTCTGGGCTCAGTCACACATAGGAAGTGCTGATAACTATTAAACAAATGCCCCAGGATTCCAAGCAGAGCTGAGGACTTTATCTTTGAGGTCTAGAGAGGAAGAAAGAGCACAGGGCTCTGGGCCAGAGACCTGAGCATAGACTCTGGCTCAGCTATGGATTTGTGCTTGACCGCGGAGTCAAAGTCTTTGAACCTCTGTTTTCTGATCTCTACGTGGGTGTGTTGATCTCGGGAGACTGAGGAAGCACGGTGCCAGGTAAGTGGGCTTGTTTGCACCCCGCTTTGGTCATGGTGGTTCTTTACCCTGCAGCAAGTTCCTGGTCGTTCTTTCATCAGGTTTGGGATGAGCAGCTGGCCAGGTCTGCTGAAGCCTGGGCCACCCAGTGCATCTGGGCCCATGGGCCCTCACAGCTGATGAAATATGTGGGCCAGAACCTCTCGATCCATTCCGGCCGGTGAGTGAATCTCTGCCCTTTCTTCATTCAGTCGTTGGACACATGGACGCTGAGTACTTACTCTGACCCCGTGCTACGCGCGGTGGTGGTTACTGGGATGAACCAGGCAGATGAACTCTGCACATATAGAAACTAACTCATCCATAGCTGCAATACTGGGCAGATAAACTGGAGCTCATGCTACTTCAGAGAGCAAGAATGGATCGGAAGACTCACGTGCTTCATAAGGTGGTGAGGGCTTTGGGGAGAAGAACGAGGACAGGGGTTAGGAGGTGAGGACATAGGGCCCAGGAATGGCAATGGAACTGAACTGCCAGCCTGGCTTTTGTCACCAGGCCAGCTTCTGAGTCAGAACATGGGCGCCTGAGTTCTGAGGAAGTTTGGCCTATGTTCCAAAACTTGGGGTCTCCTTTGACCTAGATTAGCTATTTCTAGACTTGTGAGTTTCATAAGACAGTAACAAGGCCTGAGGAGATGCTCCAGTAGTGAAGTGTTTGTCTGGCAAGCACAAGAGACCTGTGCTCAATCCCCAGAACCCACAAAGAGCCGAGCACAACAGCGCATGCCTGTAACCTTAGCCCTGGGGAAATAGAGGCAGGAAGATCCCTGGGGATCACTGGCCAGGCAGAATTTTTTTGGCCAGTGAGAGACTCTACCTCAAAAGACAAGGTAGATGGCATCTAAGAAATGATGCCTGGGGTTGACTTCTGGCCTCCACATGTAGACACATGCCTCACACGAACACATGTCTGTGCACACAGACACACACATAAACATTTAAGAGACGGTCATATGTCACAGTTTTATTCAACCAATTGAGGACATTAAGAAAACACGGCCCTCTCCATCCTATCGGTTTGCCATGCCCTCAGACAGATCAGGGTTGGTCCTGACGATTGAGCTTCTGGCACCTCTGGGCCCCTCTGCACCTTTGCATGTCACCAACTGGTTGGAGCCAGTGCCAAGCTTGGGGATTGTGACTGGTCTCTCAGAGCCCTGCAGAACTGATCTCAGTGACCCGGTCATTTCTCAAGCTCACACACGCTCTCCTCCAATGAACTTCTTCCCACTGCTGCACTCTCCTGGGCCTGATGGCCAGCCGTTCTGAAACTCACTGAGAAAGGGTGTGCAGAGCAGAGGCACAGTCACACTTTGCCAGTGTGACTACTCCCAGGCCACCCCTGTCTGCTCTTTGGCCCACGCCTGCCTGTTCAACATAATAATGAAGAGTAAGATAAAATACCAAGGGGCAGTCCAGAAAAGGAAAGCTGATGGTAATACACACGTACACAGACACACACACAATTTAAAATAAGTCTTTTTAAAAAATATTTTACATGTATGTGTATATGTGTTTGTCACATGCACTCTGGTGCCCTGAACTTGGATCTCTGGGAGAGCAACCAGTGCTCTTGACCTCTGTGTCACCTCTCCAGCTCCAACATTTAATCTTTTTTGTTAAAACTGAGACTAAGAGAGATAGGGAGAGCCAGCTGTAGAGGCAACACTTTTAATCCCAGCACTCTGGAGGCAAGGGCAGGCCAGTCTCTGTGAGTTCAAGGCCAGCCTGAGCTACAGAGACAGACGCTGTCTCATGAAAGGGAGCCTCCATGAGAGGGATGGTGAAGGGCAGCAGAGAGCCTCCTCAGGGAAGTCATCCGGGAAAAAGCCCAGAGCAAGTCCAAGAACTGAAGGAACATCCGACTTTTGTAAGTTTGAGGGGACCAGCAGGAAGTTTCATGTGATTTAATTCAGCACAGCCTCAAGTTCCAGCACAAGACTGCTTCTAAACTCTGTCCTAGAGAGAGTTGTTTGGGAGGCGTGATCTCCTCAGGCAGGTATGGAGAAAGTCCTCAGACCCCATCAGGTACTTCAGTCTGCAGAGAGGTTCCTGGGATAGCCTGATGGTCCTGTATGCCTCTCTTTCCCTAAAAATACAAGCTGTGTCTGAAGTGTCACCATAACCTGGCTCTTCACATAGCTCTACTGAGCGCCATGTGCCAAACACAGGTGAGCGCTTCGTCGCCCTCCTCAATCGCTCCTCAGACCATAACCCCTGAGGTAAGTACGACCTGTCTACATCCTACCATCTTACAGATGGGGGATGTGCCAGAGAATGAGGGGACTCACCAACAAGTTGGTGACTTTTCCATCCTCCCTTCACCGTCTTCCATGTTCTTGGCCTCCCCAGGTACCGTTCTGTGGTAGATCTCGTGAAGTCTTGGTCTGAGGAAAAGCGGTATTACTCATTCCCAGCTCCGAAGGACTGTGCCCCACACTGCCCTCAGCTCTGCAGGGGTCCTGTTTGCTCCCACTATACCCAGGTAACTCTGCCAGCCAGGAGTGCTGCTACTCAACAGACCCTGGCACCTCAGAGAGTAATGGGGGGGGGGGCGGCAGAATGAGAATGAAAACACAGGCCCATGGGCTTCCTTTTGCTTCTTTCTGTAGACAGGGCCATTGAGTATCCCAAGCTGGTCTCTCACTCTGCATTTTCCTGTCTCAGCTTCCTGAGTGTTGGGACTATAGGCCAGCCCACCACTCCCAGTGTGTACTGGGACTATATGCCAGCCCACCACTCCCAGTGTGTGCTGGGACTATAGGCCAGCCCACCGTTCCCAGTGTGTGCTTTCCTTTATGTAGACATTCCTGGAAAGCTGTGTAGACCACGCACTGAGATGAATTATATTGAAATACAGGCTCTCACAGACTTTGAACTCAGAGACATCCTCCTGCTTCACCTTCTGAGATTACAGGTGTCATACCCTGCCATTGTATTGTTTTGAATATTCTGAGTATTTTCTGTTTCTCCAAACTCCCTGCTTTGTTCTACCACCGAGCTATACCCCAGCCCTTTCCAACTATCTTTAAAAAAAAATAGCCACAGCACTCGGGAGGCAGAGGCAGGCGGATCTCTGTGAGTTCGAGACCAGCCTGGTCTACAAGAGCTAGTTCCAGGACAGGCTCCAAAACCACAGAGAAACCCTGTCTCGAAAAACCAAAAAAAAAAAAAAAAATTAGCCAGATGTGGTGGTGCGTGCATCTAGGCTCAGCACTTGGAAGGCACTGTGAATTCAAGGTCAGCCTGGTCTACAGAGCGAGCTCTAGGCCACTCAGGGATACATAGTGAGGTTCAAAACATAGTGAGTGTCTCAAAACAGCAGCAACAACAACAACAAAATCATGGGACATCATTACCTCCACCTTCCCAGCAAAGCGCAGAGGCACAGAGAGGGTCAGAGACTCAGGAAAACTCACACAGTAGGTGATGTTGAGATGCTGATCCAAGCGTGTGTGATTCCAAAGTTTAACCTCCAACACTACAGTGGCTTTCAAAGGTTGTCACTAAAAGGAAAATCTTAAAAAGAAAAAATAAATGAAAGGGTATAGAAAACAGTAACGTATCACACACGATATGGATAAATATTGCTTTATACCATTCTTTGGCATGCTGGGTATACCCAAGGGCTTAGAACCACGAGGCATGAGCTCTACTACTGTGCTGAACCCCTTTTTCTTTCAGCCGGCTTCTGTACCCCCTGCACCTATTTCTCCATGTAGCAATATGAAACACATTCCTTACTGCTGGTTTCAGTTAAACGTTATTTTTGAAAAACATTCTATTACAGAATAAATGTTTTGTTGTTGTTGTTGGCTTTTTTTTTGTTTTGGTTTTTTTTTGTTTGGTTGGTTGGTTGTTTTGGTTTTTTGAGACAGGGTTTCTCTGTAGCTTTGGAGCCTGTCCTGGAACTAGCTCTTGTAGACCAGGTTGGCCTCGAACTCGCAGAGATCTACCTGTCTCTGCCTCCCGAGTGCTGGGATTAAAGGCATGTGCCACCACCGCCCAGCTCATAATAAATGTTTTAAGCCATCCTCCAACCCCTTAGGATAGGCAGACATGGTCTCTTCTCCTGTCCTCCAGCTCCGGGCCCCAAGACTTCACCCAGTCCGTACTCCACAGGAGTGGGGTCTAGTGACCATGCTTCCCAGGGTTCTCAGGCTCCTCTAACCTCGGCCTACCTGTCTCTGTGCTTCCACAGATGGTGTGGGCATCCTCCAGCCGGCTGGGCTGCGCCCTTCACACCTGCAGCAGCATCCATGTATGGGGCAGCACCTGGCATCAGGCTGTGTACCTGGTCTGCAACTACGCCATTAAGTGAGTACCGCACCAGGGTTCCTCCTGCTCAGTGCTCTACTGGTTTGGGCAATTTAAGAGACTCAATTGACAAAGCCTTTTGTCTGTTTGTTTGTTTTGTGGCACCAGAACTGGGTCTTATACAAGCTAGGCAAGTAGGCTACCTGTTAAGACACAGCCTAAGCCAATAATCCTTCATCTGTGCCCAAGACATGGGCGTAGGGGACAGACAGAGAAAGGGCCGAAAGGTGGGTGAGGGGGTGGGGATTGTGGGCTGAACTGGCCCAGCTGCCCACCAAGTGGCTAATATTTCACCATAAAGCCGGCCTTTCACACCAACGCCAGGCATGGCTGAGCAAATAGGTGTAGTGCTAGCCCTCTGAGCTCAACCCAAGAAACAGACAGCTAAGAGCACGTGCTCTTGGGAGGGCGGATTGGATGGAAGAGCAAAGACGAACAGAGCATGCGCAGCTCTCCCAGACTCACCTCGCAGAACATAGGTAGGCAGGAGACCAGGAGCCGTCTTTATACAAATCTAATGGAAACACAGGGAAATGGCAAGATAAGTTCCTATCCAGTATCAGAACGCAGCCTTATGAGCATTACAGAGTTTCAGCTCAAAATGAGAAAAAAAAAAAAACTGGTTTTTGTTGTTGTTGTTGTTGTTTGTTTGTTTGTTTGTTTGAGACAGGTTTCACTCTGTTACCTAGACTGGCCTGGAACTCACTTCTTAGCCGAGAGTGGCCTCAAGTCTGCAGGGGATTAGACTCTGCCTCAGTTTCCCCAGAGCTGGGATTAGGACAGAACAACCCAGTTTAGCCATTATCTTTTTTTTTTAAAGCAGAAATTACCCTCAAGAGTTTAAACAAACAAAAACCAAACAACTTCTTTTGAGTTTATCATCCAGACCTCCCTACCCCAGCCCTCCTCATTCTAGAGAGTCTATTTTTTTCTTCCTTCCTTTCTTTCGTTCTTTCTTTCTTTCTTTCTTTCTTTTTTAAGACAGGCTCTTTTCTAGCACAGGCTGTCTTCAGATTCCCAGTGAAGATGATTGAACTTCTGGGTCCCCAGCCTTGACCTTCTGATTGTTGGGGTTATAGGTGAATTCCCGGCCCCCCATGCCTGGCTTCCAAGAGGATCTTTAAAAAACACAATTTATTATATCTGGCACTAATCCTAATATCCATGGACATTCTGAAGAGCTTTCCTAAGCACTTGCCATGCCGGGTGGCGCTTGGTGTAATCTCAACACAATGAAGTAGGAGGCAGGAGGGTCAGTAGTAAAGGGTCACCTAGGCTACATAGTGAGGTCCAGCCTGGGCTACAAAACGTCCAGTCTCAGAAGCAAAAACAAAACAAGCAACACATAAAACCAACCCAATTACTTTTTTGTGGGGAGGGGGAATGGAGGGTGGATTCCGTTTCCGGCTATAAGGAGTATTCGCTCGCTTAGACTGGAAAAATAAAAAGCCTTAGGAGTTGTAGATAACTGATAACAGACAGCAGGGCCAGAGATAAGATACGGGGGCAGCCTGCGGCAAGAGCAAGGAGGAAGAGAGAACGCTGTGAAGGGTCTCAGCCAGTTGAGGGGCAAGTGAGGTGTATACTAACCAAGCCTGCCGCTAAGGGCACTCTGGAATTGTTAAGATTTGTTTTATTTCATTGCTGCTTGTTGTTGTCATTTTGTTTTGTTTTTTGTTTGTTTGTTTGTTTGTTTGAGACAGGGTCTCTTTATATGGTCCAGGCTGGCCTGAAATTTGCCACATAGCCCAAACTGGCCTCAAACTCATAAATCCCCAGCCTCAGCCTCCCAAGTACTAGGATTACAGATGCGTACCACCTGCCTCCTAGCTAGGGCACAGCTAGTGATGAGATTCTGTAAGGTAGGACTCTGAGAACTATGGCTCATGGCCAAACCTAGCTTGTGGCCCATTTTAAATAAAGTTTTATTGAAACGTGACGGAAAAGGGAAAAGTTTAGAATTGAAACAATTCCTTTATCTCTTCTCTACAGCTGTTTTCATGTCACAGAGACACAATAAATCATACTTAAAGTTTTAGTAAAATATAACATAAAAGATACCATTGAATCTTTTTTAAGTGAAGAATTCAGTGACAATTATTACCATAATATTGTGCAAGCATTGCCATTTTATTTATCTCTATTACAGTCATTTGTTTGTAGGGGTGGTATCCACACACCTCAGTGCACGTGTGGAGACCAGAGGAAAACCTCTTGGAGTTGATTCTCTCCTTCTACCATGTGGGTCCTGGGGATTGAACTCAGGTCCCTGGTCTTGGCGGCAACTGCCTTGACCTGCTGAGGCATCTTGCTGGCTCTGTTGTTTCTTTTGAGACAAGGTCTCACGTGGCCCCAGTTGGCTTTTACCTCATTAATTAGCAAATGTTGATCCTGTTCTAATCCCCTCACCTCCAAGTGCTGGAATTATGGACCTGTGATACTGGGAACTGAACCTGGGGCTTTGTACATGCTAGGCAAGCTCTCTATCAACTATTTATCCATCCCTTCTAAACTTCTCCCTTTTCCGTCAGCCCAGAGAAATCTCTATACCATTAGGCAATAGTTCCCTATTCTCTTCCGTAAAAGGTGGAGGTCTTTTGAGAGGGTAGCTCTACAGCTGAGTACCTAGATTAAGCCTTGGACGCGGAGGGTCGTGGCCTTAATGAGGCTCCACGAGGGGCCACTCATGCCTCATTATCCTCATCAGCTAATTATCAAGCTCCCATTTGCACAATATACATATAGCAAAGGGTTTTTTTCCATGGGTCATTTCACATCATTTTCATGGACACTGTCTCATTTATCTTATTCAGAGAATAATATCAGTTTCCAAGAAATGAAGTGGCTCAGTCTGTCACCAGGATGAGAACTCAGGACCAGAACCCAAATCTGCCCCCTCCAGGGACACTGGGAGAAGGCGAGAAAGCCAACCCTTATAGGATGTCAGTATTTTCCAAGGACAGTGATGCTGTGCTCATATGCACAGGTTGTATTTGTGCAGTTGTCTGCATCCCTATGGAGGAGAGACCTGCTGGGTTTACAGAGAAAGAAACCAGGGCTTACAGAAGTGCCATGTTCAAGGTCCCATGTGCAGTGGACCCCAGGGTGGAAATGTGGAAATCTGTGAAGGCTATTTCACCTAAACATTCCCTAATGTTGTTTCCCCTGGGCCTGTTCTTTTGTAGGGGCAACTGGATTGGGGAGGCGCCCTACAAGACTGGGAAGCCATGTTCTGCCTGTCCCTCCAGTTACCAAGGCCACTGCAACAGCAACATGTGCTTCTCTGGACTCAAATCCAACAGGCTCCCATGGATCTAAACTAACCCAAAGTTTTGGTGTCCCTGGTTGGGCGTGCTCCCTCCTCAAAGTTGAGAGGGAAACAGGGGTTGGGCAACCCTACAGTTCTTTATAAACTCCTTTTCTTAAATGTCTAGTACATGCCAAAGGTATCTCCTCTCCCTTCCTTAGTAAAGTCTTTCGTTTCTATAATATCTAGGGAAAAATGCTTTTTTTTTTCTTTTGGGTTTTGTTTTGTTTTTGTTTTTCAAGACAGGGTTTCTCTGTGTAGACCTGGCTGTTCTGAAACTCACTCTATAGACCAGGCTGGCCTTGAACTCAGAGATCTGCCTGCCTTTGCCTCTAAGAGTGCTGGGATTAGATTTATACCACTATGCCCAGAAAGTCCTGCCTTTATTATTTGCCTGATTCTCTGGAGCGAGGGCTACTGGGAACAAAATAGGAAGCTTCGTCTGTGACTCTGAAGCTTCTAACCCAAGACTGTCCACCTAGCGAAAAGCTTTTGTCAAACATTCTCAACCTCGGGCTGTAGCTCAATGATACTTGCTTGCCTAGCAAGCACGGGTCCTGGCACTGCACAACCCTGGCACGGTGGTGTGCACCAATGATCCCAGCATTCAGGAACTGGAGTCAAGAGGATTAGATGCTGAAGGCCACCCTCAGCTACACAGCAAGTCAAGGATAACAACCGAAAATGACACCAATGCAACAGCTTTAACCTAAGTCTTGCCTCCAGCCATCTAAATCCAGCCTTTCTGCCAGCCTTCCGGGACTGATGATTTCCTCCTAGGTTGGGCAAATTTCAGGTCCTAATGATTTTTGTTCGTTTGTGCATATCATATCCCCACCCTTGGTACACTTTCTAGAATGACCATAGGGTCCAGCCTTGTCTCATACATAATTGAGTTTGAATTCATACTTTTTTGACCTTCCTGGAACCTCTCCAATGAAACAACACAACCCCAAGTTGGCCAAGGAACAATTTCTGCCTCTGACAATTTTCTCTGTAGCACTCTGTCTGCCCTGCTGTCTCCCTCTGCCCATCACTGCACTCCATCTGCCATGCTCTGTCTCCCTCTGCCCTGCTCTGTCTCCCTCTGCCCATCACTACACAGTGTGCTGTTCCTTCTTAGCCTCTACAGACTGGTTCTCTCCCTTGCAATGTCATTTTCATTCCAATAAACCATTTCCCCTCTCCCCACCCCATCTCACCCAGAGATCATAAAACACAAAAGTCCTTTTGTCTGTAGAGATAGTAAAATTTCCTCCTTCAGACCTTGCCCTCTTGCTGTGGGGCCCACTCCCTGTGAACTAGAGAGGGCTCCATTCAAAGAAAGAGCTCAGACTGAACAGAAAATTCACCCCTTCACTCAGAGCCTCTGTGGATTGCTGGAACAACTGAGTCTTCTCCCTGATCGTCTCCACCAGGCCTTGACTGGTGCATGTCACTCTTAGCCCTTTCCAGGACCAATACAGCCCTTTGGTCTAGGCCGTGGCTCTTAGTGAATCCCCTTTCACTTCCAGGGGTGAGAAATCAAGCGAAGAAAATGGGGTTGAGTGAGAGTGGCTGAGGGTAGCGGGGCTCTGCCTGAAGCAGGGAAGGGGTGGGCAATCCGCAGCAGCACAGGTGTGGGCTTTATTACTCTGCTTGGCAGAAGAGAAAGTGTGACGGTTTCCAAAAGCTGGAAGTGAGTGAAAGAAGGCCAAGGATACAGCTGCAAGTTTATTATTCCAGATAAAAGCCTTGTGCTGGGGAGATAGCTCAGCTAGGGGAGGGCTTCCCTGGAAAGCAGGAAGCCCAAGGATCCATCCCTCATATCAGATAAATCCCCATCCTGTAATCCTAGCACACAGGAGAAGTAGGTGGGAGAATTAGTTCAGGGTTACCCTTGGCTACAGAGAAGTTTCAAGATTTCCTATATATCCCATTTACAGATGTGAATACATTCCCCCATTATCCATGACAACGGGAGTTTTCATTTTAATTAATTTATTTTTATCTGATGTATATGAGTGTTTTGACTGCACACATGTATATAGATATATGCATAACTGTGAGCCTGGTGCCTACAAGAGAGTGTCAGGTCCCCAGGAACTAGAGTTATCAGACAGCTGTGAGCTGCCATGTGCTGGAGCCAAACCTGGGTCCTCTGCGGCATGGGTGCCCTTAACCACGGATCCATCTCTCTGGCCTCTCTCTCCTTTTATGAAGGGATGGTTGTGCCCCAGAAACACGAGGGCTGTGAGCTAGAGGAGAGGGTGCCTGGCACTGACAAGGCTTGAAAGAATACCTCACACGCGTGAGCGTGTGTGCGCGTGCATGTGTGTGTGATGGCCCATGTTAGGGAAATAGGCAGGGGACAAACCATGAAAAGCAGTTTTAGGGCTCCATCAGGGAGTACTGAAGAGGAATATTAAATATTAAATCCCATCCCTGGAGACAGAAGCAGGCCGAGTTCGGTAAGTTCAAGGCCAGCCTGGTCCTCACAGCAAATCCTAGGTCTGCGACCTTCTCAGGGGTTTTTGTTTTGTTCCAGCATGAGTGGTTGGTTCAGTGTAGACAGGAAGAAAGCAAGATACTCAAGTCCTTCCTGGCTTCGAGCTTCCTCAGGGAAGGGACTGGGAGGGAAGCAGAGTGGCTAAAGTAACAGTAATCTTAGAGATTTAACCCGGATGAGAACTAAAATGAAGGCAGGAAGGTGCCAGTTTAGGGAGAGAACCCTGGAGGCTGAGAATGGAGAGGAGCAGTGCCCGTCAGTGACAAGTAGGTAGTGGTTTCTTGGAAATGGCTGGAGAAGTGCCCTAGAAGAAGAGGCTGAGAAAGGGTTAATCAGCTAGCTGGTTTGGGAGGTGTGGCAACCCATCATGAAGAAATTACCATAAGGAAACAGAAGAATTTAGCACAAAGAATCACCAAGAAAATGGTGGAGCTGAGGTCTCTCATTCCTCTGAGTTTCAAATTTGTCATTTGAAAAGTGTTTTAACATGAGATGATCTAGACCAGAGAATCCCAAGGCAGGCTGGGAGCTCCCACAATGAGCCAAATGAAATGAGGTGCTAGCGAAAAACAAAAACAAAGAACCAGGTAGGTGGTGGGTTGTCATGTGCGAGAGGTCTCAAACCAGACTGCAGACTTCCACAGCGGGTTGCCTATGGAGTGAGACCGGAGGCCAGCAGAAGGCTGTACACCAGCTGGTCCATCCCAGACAGCACCTACCTTTGACTATGATGTGATTAAGGTTCATCTCTTCCGTTACTCCACAAATTCCATATTGAGAAGGTGATGTCTGCTTGACCCATTTTTACATCACTGTTTAACACAGAACACGGCTCATGTAGGTACTCAGGTGACCTGTGAGATGGGTGGCAAACCAGAGCCTTGACCCCAGATCTTCTCTGCACCCAGTGTGAGACTCCAGGCAAGCAACTTCTTGAGGCAAGCCTCACTGTCCTTTATTTATTTACTTTTAGGTTTAATTTATGTGTATGGGTGTTTTACCTGCACATATGTCTGTATGCCACACGCGTGCCGGTGCCTGTAGAGACCAGAAGAGGGCATTGGGTTTCCTGGAACTGGAGTTACAGATAACCGTGAGCTGCCATGAGGATGCTGGGAATACATCCCAAGACCCTCAGGAAGATCAGCCAATGATCTGAACCACTGAGTTATCTCTCTAGCCCCCTCAAACTCCTTTATCTCAAGGTTTAATTAATCCTAGCAATGCCTATGTTCAACTCCCAGCATCCAGTCTGGTGTGCAATAAATGTAATTCTCCACCCTCCTTCCTCCCGCTACCCCTCCCTCTACTTCCCCTCGTTTTCATGCACTCGTCACTCCCATAGTCCAGAGCCATAAAACTCCACCCATCACGGACTCAACTCCCCAGGCCCCGCTCAACCCCTTCTCCCAAGTTGCAGGGCTGACGTTTCCAACATCTGGCTTCAGGTTCTCCTAACCCCAGAGTCCAGGACTGGGGCCTGAGTGGACCTCAGGTCTAGCCAGGTTGCCGTTGCCATGGCAAAAGCGACAATCCCCAGCCACAGGTTCCCTAAGTGACTGGTTACTCTTTAACGTATCCACCCACCTTGGGTGATTAGAAGAATCAATAAGATAACCGGGCGGTGGCAGCTGGCTGTGCTCACTGCCTTCCTGGTGGACCGGCTCCCGGTAGCCCCTCTGCTGCGGTGTGCGGGCTCCAGCTCCTCCATGCCCCCCAGTGTCCAACTGGGTACTCTTGGTCATGGTCAGTGTGAACGCGCCCCTCGGGGCTCCAGTGGCGAGTCCTTATGGTAAGTAAAGCCAACCTCTGGGGCTGGGAGATGAATGGACAGGGTAGGATCATGGTCAGGCTATGGAGGCTACGGGACAACCCTACATTTCTGATGGGCTCCAAGACCCTTCAGGGGTTCTTTTAGAATAACTAGAATCTCAGAAGAAGCTGGGCCTTGCTCACAAGGTCCCTTGACAAGATCATGGCCATGTGGGCAGACCTGGGAGGGGCTGCAGGAGCCTGCAGCCAGGGTTTGGTGCTTTTTGAAGAAGGCTTTTCTGAGAGCCAACACCCAGGGAAACTTTCCATAATTCTGTAGAACGCAGGGGTCCCCAGACAGAAACTTCAGTGGTGGTTGAAATCCCCTTGAAAGTGGTACTGAGCCTGACCGTGCAGCCACCTGGGGTGGAACCTTGGCAGATGAACCCCAGGGGACAATTGTTGGTTTCTCTACCCTCCCTGGGGATAAGGTCGAAATCATAATCCTGCAGAGCCCAAGAAAATTGAGTGTGATCTTGCATTGGGCATGTGAAGCTGGGGAAATGTGGTACCCACCGACTACCGAGGCTTTGGGTGACCAGCAAATGGGGATGGTGTGAATTTATAATGGAATGCGGACCCATTATTGAAGAAAAGGAATGCAGATGTGTGTGCAGACAGAAAGTCTCGGTTGCGGCAAAAACCTGCGGATATTTCTGATAGCAAAACGGATGTGGTCCTATATATGTACACATGGGTTTGTATTTGCAT